ATCGGCATCGGAATTTCCTCTAGATGCTTTTATCGTACGACTATCATTATTCGATCCACTGTCCCCATTGTTTTCACCGGAAATTTTATCTTTCATTTGAGGAATCAAAATTTCAAGGGTTTTTCGGGCTGCATTGGCTTTTGCTTGTTTCTTGCTGCTGCCGAATCCGCTTCCATATTCCATATCATTGATACAAACTACTGCGGAATAGGGTGTTGCAGCGTTTTCTATAATTAATGCATTAATCATAGTAATAAAAAACAATGGATATTAAACATGCATCACATTTAATATGTTATTATTATATACTGAAAATGCTAAATAATATGATTACCTAATTCTTTAAATTTGTATGTTGGCTGTTTCTTTAACGCGTGTTGTACATATTCATGAAGAATACAAACATAACTTTTGCCTGATGGATTCATTATCCAGTGTTTCGCAGGTCTCTGTCCATTTTCGTCCACAATGTTCGAACTGCCACCTCCACTAGAACTGCTGACTGGGAAAGTTATCAATTTTGTACCATCCGGTAAAGTTGGACGCTCAAGTTGTTTACGATGTTTTTTAATTTTCGTAAATTTCCGACGCGCTGACCAAGATCTACGACAGAAAAGTTAATCAATGCAAAACAAATCTCATGACGATATAATCACCTTATTTTTAATACTTACTGAAATCTCATTACTTTAATAGATTTAAAACGAAACAAAGACTGACAATAATTTCTTAGCTGTTCGCTATCTAATGAATGTGCTGCGCGATTTTCTTGTATAGTTTCAATCTTTGCGCTAGGAAGACTACAAGCTTCAGTGTTTGGTGTGCGCTCTATCTCCTTTCTTCGTTCTTCTTCCTCTTCTGTTAATGCTCTTTTATACTGAAGACAAGGAATGGCGCTGACAGGAACTTCATGCTTTCTAACGCTTCCCGGACCAAGAAAATATGGTTTTGCTAATGTACAAACTCTACTTTGTTTATGAAGATATAATGGCATTCCACTGTTATGTGTCACTTGTACCCATCCTTCAGGTAAAACATCAAAATGATTATGTCCAATTTCTAAAAGAACAACAAAAGTAATATATAAATATTAGAAATAATTATACATCATCTCTCTTGTAATACTTTTATATTAATATACCATCTAAAACAAGTTTCTCCTTTTCTTCATAGGGCAAACGATCCTTTTTATCTTTTCTTCTCCCTTTAAATTCTTCTGGTAAACCTAACACATAAAATTTAACTAAAATAAGAACAATAATAAGTGGAAAATTGACTGATATGTGAACAGCACAAATAAGTGAAGAAGTAAAGGCCAAACAACCTTACTTGGTTTCTTATTTTCTTTGCAGCAGAAAATATTTAATCTGATCTTGAAAGCGTAAAGTTAAAAATCTTGAATTGTAGTTCTTGAAAAAATATGGAATTCACGCTTCTCATATATAGATAATTAAAAGTAGTATGCAGGTAAATGTATTCTTATTGTATCAACATACATCAGATTTTTTACATAAGAATAAAAAGAATAAACGAAAATCTTTTACATTGTTTTTTTATTATAAAATATAGTTGTACCTTTTGTATGAAAACGTTAGATATAAGAAAATATAAATGTACCTTCTTCTAGCATCGCTTCAATTTCTTCATCTGGCACATCAGAATCCATACTTTCATCTGTATCTGAATCTTCATCAGAACCATCATTCTGTTCTGGATGGCGATCTAGATCGTCCAACACGTCAAATTGCCGTAAATCTTCATTATGTTGTGAATCTTCATTATGTTGCGAATCTTCCTGACATAAGCCATTGTGTAAAGAATCTTTATTGTCAAGGCATGTAGTTTCTTCGTCCGTGATATCATAATTACTATTGTCAGTGCCAGTCGATCTAGTATCAGGCTCTAATTTGATTGACTGTTTATGCGATGCTTCCCAATTCTGATTTTCACATTTCATGCTAGAGACTGTTCCGCTACCACGAATGTTTTGATTTTGATTATTTGCATTATGTTTTGAAGCCAGATCTTCCATAACCACTGTCTGTGTTATTTCAACTTCCATTGCGTTGTGTCACGAGCGGTATCTGTTAAAATACTATAAAAGTGCGAACAAGGAGCTCAGATGTTCAGCTGACAAAATTGGTACAATTACATAAATAACAGCAGAATATTCATCTCTATCTCGTACCATGATCTTCTACTATTATTTCTTCATCAGACAAAGCCTTATACAGTATTGACCTTTTTTATCATATTGTATATGTACATGATACAATAATTATTGCATCGTATGCAAATTAACAATCGATACAGCTAATAATAATAATAAACATTAGTAAACTTAAATCCAAGGTCCATACAAAATAATCCATGGATTAATATGTATTAAGCGCGTTGTATGGCCACACCACTTCCACCAATGAGGCCAAAGTCCAATCAATTTAAAACCATGGCCATGAACCAAATGGCAATGAAAATTGGACATTTGCATTAGTGTTAGCAGTTTGGGGCCTATTTAATATCCATGAGAGTATATTATACAAGCAAACTGTTATGTTATCGGATTTTGTAGATGGCTGAGAATTCTATCGCATTATTTAAACTCCAAAGCTAGACAGGAACAACATTGAGAGATTGAGGCTGTTACTAGCTGGAGTTCTGCGACGATATTAATTAAACAACTGTATACTTGGCTGATCCTTGGCTTGGTAGACTAACGCACGCTTGAGAATTCCATTTACCGAATAGGATGTGACAACAAAAACAGACTTTAAATGTGTAACATACATAAATTTGTATAAAAATTGTTGGCCACGTTACTTACGGCATGCTATGTGGGAATGATACTTTTAGGGTGCGTTCCACTTGATGCTCGCAATGTTTATGCAATTATTTCATTCTTGTTATTTATCGAATGTTAAACAAGGAGAAATAATGCACGCGAGTGTTGTGAGCGTTAAATGGAACTATCCTTAATTTTCCAACGACCTATTACTAACACGATAAGAGAATGTTGGATAATTATGAAGGAGACGGACTCACTCACTAATTTCGATGAAATTAGGCTCATTCGACGCGTTTTTGCACGAAATGAACGAATCTGACAGAAAAAAATCACTCTGCTCCACGAACTGTGATATTAAGCGTTAAAGTGGACGACTATACAGGTTAGGAAATCTGTCACAGCCATCCAAATGAAAAGTGTGTATGGAGATGGAGACAGTACGTTTCGCCCCTCCAGCCCTATGGGGAGGGTTTCATTCCGAAAAGAAACCTAAACACCCCTATATTTTGGTACACGATGGATCTAGTTTCGCGTAATAAGTTGTAAATTTATAAGATTTCACATAACCTTACAACTTTCCATGCGAAGCGATGTTTCTCTCACACCATTATATGGGGTGGACGGAACTGTCCCCAATGTCTCCATACATACACTTTTCATGTTCACATTGCGCACTATTGCATAGCTGTGACAGATTTCCTAACCTGAATAGTTAACTTTAACGCTTAATATTTTGGTTCGCGGGGCAGAGCGACACTTTTTTTCTGTCAGATTCGTTTATTTCGTGCAAAAACGCATCGAATGAACTTAATTTCATCAAAATCGATGAGTGAGCCCGTTTTCTTCATAATAACCGAATGTTAATTAAATCAGCGCAACTGGCCTAAATACAATACATACGCGATCGTGTTACATTTAAGTCCCGATTCGAAAAGGAAGATCTTCCTTTGTTGCCTACAATACCTTGTTAGAGAGAATACCTAACGCTATGACATGAAACGTACACACGCTGCTTACCTACTATTAAATTTTATACACTTCCACGATTACACGAATTACGATCTACGCGCGTATGTACAAGTCACTTTTTACAACTGTTGCTGTTTATACCATGGTATTGTAAGAAAAATCAAAAAGTTTACATAAGGAACACATTTACACATATCCAACTTCGAAGAAAAATGGAAAAGAACTGAAAAGAACTGCTCCAGATCATGGGATCGAATGATTTAAGGCTGCTGTACATAAAATTCCGTAACAGAATGCGTAATGCATTGGCCGATGAGCCAATCAGGATACT